GACTTTGCCAGCGCAGGAGAAGAACTCCTGGATTTGGGAGAGGTTTTGGCAGGAGTCGCAGCCTTTGGAGAAGTGGACCTGGACTTTGCCAGCGCAGGAGAAGAACTCCTGGATGAGGTTTTTGCAGGAGTCACAGCCTTTGGAGAAGTGGACCTGGACTTTGCCAGCGCAGGAGAAGAACTCCTAGATGATGTTTTTGCAGGAGTCACAGCCTTTGGAGAAGTGGATCGGGATCTCAGAGACTCCTGTAGCAGAGGTGTACCCTTTGGGCTAGAAGACTTGAATTTTGGAGACGTTTGCGCAGGAGAAGCAGACGTGGGAGCTTTCTTCCCAGGGGATGTGGCTTTGGGGGAAGGAGATCCAGACTTGGGCAACTTTTTCCCACGTGGAGTCTTAGGAGAAGCACCTTGAACACCCAATGAGTTCTTTGGTGATAGAGTCTTTGACTTTGCTGAACTTTGCTCCTAAGGAGGATAAAACAGTTTAAATAAGTTTATAGCTCTTTGAAAATTTGGTGTAAACTACTGAAACTTACTTTCAGAAAGCCAATGACAGAAGCTCTTCTAAAAACAGAGTGTTTGGGTTTGCAGAGAGACAAGCTTCTCCTTGGAGTGGCCCCCCTGCGTAGTGGAGAGTCAGGAGGCAGATGTTTGTCAAATAACTCTGGGCTCAGGTGACCTCCAAAGGAAACGCGCTTCTTTTTTATTTTTTGGGCTAGCAAGTCTGACTTCACGTCCCCACGCTTGTGTTTTTTGGGCACTTCTAATAAGAAAGAAGAAAAACAAACATTGATATCAGTACAACAGAGGGACATTTAAATTTGAATTCATTACATCCAACAAGTAAATAAACATCGTTATCACCTGTTTCAGCTGCTCCTGAGTTTCTTGGAGAAGTCCTTTTAGGAGTTGCTTTTGGAGACGCAGTTCCTTGCTGTTCTTGTTCTTCTGCAGTTTGGGCCAACTTGGTTTCTTTGCTCATCCTTCTGGTGGGTGATTTGAGCGCTGGAGCAGAAATTACCTCCAGAACCTCAGACGCAGTAAACTTCTGGACAGTCACACTGCTCCTCCTCTGCTTTGAAGTCGCTTCAGACTCGGCTGCACAGTCATCTCTTTTCATTTTGGGTCCGACCGCGGCAGGAGAAACTGAGATGGTCTTTCCAAGCTTCTTACCAGATTGTGGGCCTTCACAGCTTTCAAATTTAGGTTCTTCAAGGAGTTTAGTTTCCTCCCTCTTAGGTGTGAAGTTGGCAGATTTCCTACCAATTTTCATGACTGAACCAGGCCTCGGAGTGCAAAACTTTGAAGAAGGCGTCTGAACCTGACTTACGCAGGACTTGCGAGGGGTCTTGACATCGAGGGACTTTTTGATCATTTGATACAGATCACCAAAGGGAGAGTTGGTCTTGCTTTGCAGATGACCTCCATCTTCCTTGGACTCCTCTTCCAAAGTTTTCTCCAGTGATCGCTGAATGTCAATGTTAGCTCCATCTTTAAAATGAGGGCCTACAAACATTCAGTTTTGTTAAAGTTAATTCTTTTTAAAAAAACATCCTAATATTAAAATGCTTTTCATGATCAGTCTGTTATGAAACACTGCACTGTATTAACTAAATATTTACATTTAGTAGTTTTTTTTACTTGAAGTATGGTAATTGCCTATTGTTTCTGTAGATGACGTCACTTTTCAAGAACTGACATCTTACAAAATATACCTGTGGATACTTCGAAGTTCCTTCTTTCTCCTGATTCAGCAATGACAGAGTCGCTCACCTGATGATCTCGAAGAACCTAAACACAAGATTTATTGGTTACCACGTTTGTAAAATGGACCCATTTTCCATTAGGGCTAATACTAAATTATATTGATAAATTATAGGCATTTAATGTTGATCATATTTACTTTGAGGGTTTCAGATTTAGCTCCAGTAGAAGATCTCTTCTTTGGTGTGGGTGCTGGTGGGTACTCAAACCTGAAAATACAGGTAATAGAAAATTATATGTAAAAATAAATAAATAATAAATAAAGATAATAAGTAATAATATAGATAATATATAAATATATAAGTAAACTATTTTTAATTTTCCTTGGAGTTTTGAATATAATTTAGTTGCTTACACCAATTACAATACTGTGCAAATGTTTCAGTGTCCCCCCCTTTTTTTTTTTATAGCTTGCTTTTAAAGCAGTTATCTTGAAATGTGTAAGTTTGTCTTATTTTATATTCCTTTAGCATTTTTGAAAGTCTTAAATTTTATTTGTAATCTTGCAGTTTGTTTACACACATTTTATGTCTAATACTGAACCACTTTAGAAGAATAATTTTATGGTCAAGTCAGTTAAATCTGACCTACAAGTCACTCAGCCATTCAAAACCACCTAAACTTAAGAGATGGACTGGTGTTTAAATGTAATGCAACAAAGAACCAGTTTTGAACTGGATCTAGTACAAGCAAGGTGATGCTCTAAGAGCTGAAGCTAGCCATAAAGCTGATGATGAATGATGGAAAGTATTTATCTGGTCTTTATTGGATTCTTTACTATTTCTTAAATGGTAAATGGACTTGTACTTATATAGCACCTTTCTATCTTATCAAGATGCTCACAGCTCTTTACACCACAACCTGCACCCTCGTTTACCCATTCACACAGCACTCTACTAGATCTCTACTAGATCTCTACATAGCTAGGTAATCTGAACCTGCAGACCAGGGCTATTCAACAAAACTTCTCAGGGGGCCACAGTTTCTGAAAGCCAACAGCTCTGAGGCCGGACATCCAGCGATTAAAATCATTATTAAAAAAAAAAAAAAAAAGTTTACAATGATCTGTTATGTTTTAAATTTGCTCATTTTATTGCATTGAATCATAAATGCAATAAACAGAACCCTCCAATTTTTTAAATGAGGTGGGCCAGATTGAAGTCACCTGCGGGACGCCAGTTAAATAGCTCTGCTGTAGATTATTTAGTGCTTTAGCTCAGATTCATACCCCGACACGACACAGATAAGAGGCAATGAGGGGTTCGGTGTCTTGCCCAGGGACACTTCAACATGCGACTTCTGATGGAATCAAACCACCAACTCTCCCATTGAAGGACAACTGTTCTAACCACTCCCCCACAGCCGCCCCATTAAAGATGTGAAGTCTCTATACTGTTCATCTGCGGTAGCGTTTTGTTTTCGAGGGCTGACATTTTTTTCTACTTTACTTGACCACTGATCAAGACAGTTAAAACGCATCACAGTGATGGTCACAGCTTACAAGATAAATGCTGTTCAAATGACAAAGCAATAATTTTCACTCAAGTTTTAAAATAAACACTGATAATTACTCGTTTTACGCTCGCAGCAAGATTTTAGTTTGATACAAACCTAAAAGAACGATCAACAATTGTTATCACATCTCCGTGCTTCAAGCGCTCCGACTGATGCAGAGTCTCTCCATTGACACAAGTTGGATTGGCTGAGCTCAGATTGGTTAAAATAACCTACGAGAGAACAGATACATACTTTTTTTAAAATTTCCACATAAAAACTAACCAAGCAGCCAGGAAAAATTACAGTGAAACGACTTAATGTGATCGTTCTTAGTGTCCTCTTACCTCTTTATTTTCATTTAAGTCAATTCTGCAGTGTTCCTTGGAAACACTCGGAAGCTGAATACGGATATCACACTCCTGCTTCCTGTACGGACAGAAACACGTCAACATAGAAGGTCCTGTGTTTACACGAGAACTGCAGGTAATAAGTTCAAGAACGAACTTGCTCAAGGTCAAAACTGTAACATTTAACTCGTTGCACCAATATAAAATATACTATATCTGCTGCAATTACAAGGGGGACAAAAAAAAAACATAGAAAATGTCATTTGATTTCTAAAGAGGTGGCAAAAACAAACTATTTAATGCATTTTAAAACCTCACCTTCCAAATAAACATGATGCAGTCAGGGGAAATTCAGTCCCATCTACTCCACTCCTCTTAATGACCACGATTTTTCCATGTAAGGGCATTTTTCAACTTTACCTGAGAAAATACAGAAGAAAAGGGTCAAATTGTCAACTCTGACAACTGCAACTTTAAATTAGCCCAACTTTAGCTTTAAATAAAGAGGGTTTCAACACAGGAAAGCCTTTGATTACATGATTTTAAATGCAGCACGTGTAAAAGTGAACAAAATTATTAAGAACCTATTTGTCCAAACAGAAGTATGCGATATTGTGTTTGATTTGCACTAACAGTACAGACATTTGACATTATAAGTAAAGGTTGAATGAATGAATTAAAGCTGCACACACACAAAACGTGCCAAGTATCCCACGTGCAACGTTGGCACAAAAATAGTTTTAAATAGATAGTAAAATGTAGAGCTTCTGGCTACGCTGAAACAAATGTACACGATGTAAGGCGGAGTGTATATTTTATGTATAGGTTACACGGTTAACGTAAAAATTCAAACTTGACGTCGTGTTGCTTGCGTTTATAGCTATTAAAACATCGCTCAGCTGGAATTACTAATAAAGTCTTACCTGAAACGTCGTCAAAAAAACTTCTGCTTGTCCATAAAATCAGTTAGAATGGATTAAAAAAGGTTAAAACTGCGTCATTATCGCCTTGAACACGAACTAGTACCTAGCGACAAAAAAAAACTAACGTAAACTACTCATTCGACAGCTGTACTTCGTTCCGCCACGGAGAAGCTGTATCAATCCGCGAAGCTGCACAAAAAAAAAATTAACTCCACAAAATCCTCAATTGTATGGATTTTTGTATGTATAATATGTGTAATATTGTATTTATCTGCATTTATATTATGCGTTTGTTTTAATTGCGTTATTGAAGCTTTACCTGAATTTACATCAAACGGACTATTTTGTTTACATTTTCGCGGAGCGATACGACTCCTCTTTAGAAATCGTAATTTAAAAATATTTGAAATTCCGCGCGAAGGATTCTGATTGGTTGTCTTGTTAAAGAGGGCGGAACATTAGCGGGTTCATTAAACCGCTTGAAAGTTACGGTGTTTTTTCGTACGATATCTTCTTTGTTTATTTATTTCATAGAACAGCCAGAGTTTTTCATAGAAAAGCCACCGCTATTTCACGCACGTTGTTTCACGTTGTACCGAGCGTCGTGTCCAAAGAAATACAAAAGTTTAATTATAATGGACTCGATCCGGAAATGCTTCTTGCACGTGCTCTATGAGTAATTATGTAAGAGATCAAAACTATGAAAACTGCCAAAAAATAATAATAAAACACACACGCATATATATAATTAAAAAATATATCTAAGTAATAAACTGACACAAATAAAACTAATGTTATTTTTTAATTGAACATTTTAAGCTACATAAGTCCAGCATGTCCAAATAGTGTAACAGATCCACTATAACACAGCATAATAATATAACAGCATGATCCATAAAAGTCCTTATACAATGCCAGTTTCAGGATACTTCACATTATATTGTCAAGTGTTTCAGCTCTATGTCAAACTTTGCTTTGAACAGATGATATTGTCCATTGACACAAAACCTCGACCTCTCCTAAAGGATCCAAGATCATAAATTTCCATAATTGAAGTGATGGGGTCTCATCACCCACCCATTTTTGTCTTCCTGGTCATTAGTGCATCCATTATCTTTTACCCGTTTCTTCCTTTTTGGATCGCAGACAGGTCACTGCAGTATCCAGGCATCGCTGTGTAAGAGGTGAGGGACACCCTGGACATGTCTCCAGTCCATCACAGGGACACATAGAGACAAACAAGACAAGCAACCATTAACTCTCTCACTCACACATAGGGACAAGTTATCAGTCAGTCTAACATGCCTGTTTTTGGTCTGTGGGAGGAAATCGGAGTACCCCAATTAGGTAACCCCTTCTCGAGTACCTGGAAAAAACTCACATGCACAGAGAGAACATGCAAACTCCACCCAGAAAGGACAGGATTCGATACAGCAACCTTCTTACTGAGAGGCCGCAGCTCTACCAACGGTGCCCCCATGCCGCCTTCCTGGCCACTACGAAAAAGAAAAAGTTTTATGTCCGTGTGACCTTTGAATGAAACAGGTACATGTCCAAACAGACACATCAAACTTCAGCTAATGTCCAGTCTCTCCACTGACCTCTGTACCCACTGCCTGCAAAAACTGCTCAATCTTTTCACATGCCCAGAGACAGTGAAGTGTAATTCCTTTGTGTTTTTTACATTTCGAACTGTTTGGAGAGAGCCCTATTTTGTATTTGCTGCACATGTATGGAGATATGTATATATATAAGCTTTATGTAATATATCATATTGCATCTCCCTGTATCCGTTATTGCATGTGCTGTAATTATATCTTGTTGCTTTTTATTTGATGCTGTGATCTTTTTGTTAAGCACTTTGGTAACAGTTTGTGTTTTAAATGTGATAAATCTGAGTGGACTTGACTGTTACATACTGATACCTTAGAAGGCAACATCCTCCCATTTTTGACTCCATTTAGATTGTGCATAATGCCTAACCTGGAGATATTTTTAAAAAAAATCATTTCTTGGTAAAGTGTATTTAGTTTGAAATGATTTAAAGTTTCCATTAACCCAAAGATCAAGAACATAATGAATTCCTGATTCCTTTAATTTTTTTAAGTGATTCTAGTGCCCCCTCCTGTTAGAGCTGGGTCATGAGTGATTTCACGTGTTGTATGTATGTACTGTCAAAAATAACTTCTTTGGTTTATTCCTAGATTTAATTACATTAATTGTAAAGATTTCCCTGGCCTTAAGTGGTAATTCTTGTCGATGCTTATCCAATAAGTTTATAGGGGAACTGGTTCACGTGAGACTGTTTCCAGCTCATACCCTGGTGGCTTTGGCTGTTCACCAACACTAAAATAATTCTAGCTTGCAATGATATCATAATGTGTCATGATAGGTAGCCCCCACCCCCCTTGTTCTTTAGAAAGTTGTAGGATGTTTAATTTAATTTTAGGTTTAAGGCCAGCCCAAACAAAGTCAGAGAAAGCCTTATTAATTTCCTTGATAGGGTTATGTTTTTAAATTAGAAAGAACATAGATGTAGGATATGCTGTTTACAACAAAGTCCATGCTCAGTAATCCAGGTATACAATCCAACATTTTTCAGTCAGATCATCTGGACATTTTCTTTTTTTTTTTGTGCTGAAACGTTTCACCTTCCATCCAGAAGGCTTCATCAGTCAAGGAAACACACAACACAAAACTGATTCTTCCCCCAACAGCTTACTCCAAAGTGAAACAAATCAGTTCTGCTTGTGATAAGATGGTCTCTTTGGTACGCCCCCTCCTCCATTGCCGGCCTTCTCCCTCGTCGACAGTCATGTCAAACTGGTTCAAAACCAACAAAGTTCATGCACAATAATCCAGGTATACAATCCAACAATTTTCAGTCAGGTCATCTGAACAGTTTCTCTTTTTTTTGTGCTGAAACGTTTCACCTTCCATCCATCCATTGTATACCTGGATTATTGAGCATGAACTTTGTTTGTTCAACGTAAAGTTGGCTAATTCCTGCATGATCTCAACCCCCAGGTATGTAAACCCACCAGGAGTCCATCCAAATGATTTCACAAAATCAGTCTCACATTCTCTTGAAGTAGCCCAGGGCATGCTCTTAGATTTAGATTTACCTTACATCTGGAAATCTGTCCAAATTCTTTAACACAATTAGTGCTGGTATTGATTTTGTGGGATCAGTTATAGTAAAGAGAATATCATCTGCATATAACAGGATTTTATGATGGGTGGTTCCTATCACTGTTCCTTCAATGTTAGGGTCTTTCACATTGCAAATACTACAGTAATGGCTCCATACAGCTAAAGAGAACAATAAGAGCATCAACGAGCTTCCTTGAGCTGTGCATCTATTAAGTTCAAATGAATCTAAAATAAGACCATTGGTCACAACAAAAGCTGTAGACATTTTATAAGTTGTATCCAGACACTGAAATCAGACTGAAAGTCAAATCATCTCAGTACTTCTAATAAACATTCCCACTCAATGCGATCATTTTTATTTTCATTTACCCTTTATTTATACAGGTAGTCTCATTGAGCCACGAGAACTCATTTTCAAGAGAGACCTGTTTGGGGAGCAGATGGTGGGGGTTGGGGGCCTTGCTCAGGGGCCCAGAGTGGGACCAATGAGGGTGGAGGGAGGTGTGGGTGTTTCACCTTTTCCACCCACATTTTGATGTTGACGGTACCGGGAGGTGAACCTACGACTTTCTGATCACAAGCCCATCTTCTAACCTCTGCGCCACCACTCCCCCACAACACTTTCTCTGCATCCATCGACAATCCTTTTTAAATAAATGACCCACTGTCGTTGGTGAGTCAAAGATAAACACGTTTCCGTCCACATTTTATTAAATTCAATGCACGTACATTATACAGTCCAGAAAAATGAAAGAATCCGTTTAATTTATGAATATATATCAGCATATGTTCATCTACATCTGGTGGAAGATGTCATAATTCCCACAAGACTCGGAAGAGCTCTGGATTATGCTGGACTTCTGTTCTCCCAAACGACTGGAGCTGCAAACTCTCCACCTGACTCCAACTCGGTTGAATTAGGAAGTACAGACATTTAAAGAGCTCTATTTCCGGTTCACTTGGGAGTTTCTGATTGGTCGATGGACCAAAACAGAGGTGTGTTTAGTGATGTAAGGTGTTATGAAAAGTCAAGGAAAAAGATTAAGATTGTTTAAGAACAGACAGAAGATATTATGAAGAATTCAGACTTCGTGGAGTCACTTCTCTAGTATCTTGCTGTAAAAGTTAAACATGACATTTCTTTTTCAGTAAACTTGCAGTTGACCGAAACTTGAACTTTGACCAACTTACACACTTGCTCATTGAAGACAGAAAATCAGACAATGCATCATTAACCTGATTTCTACTTTGAATGAGGATTAACAATCATTATTACTGTTTCACAGTTGATTTAAAAATGAGTAGTTCACTTCAACATTTGGAAATGGTTTGAACTAAACAGAATTTGATTATCAAAACATTTGTAAAATAGTAATGATAATAGAAAAGAGAGTGTTCTTTCACTTGATTAATTCAAGAAAGAAAGTCTCAGGATGGGTCAACCTGTATTTCTGGATTCAATTCAATGAAATGACAGTTTCTGTCCCATAAGGTCCTTAAGGTCAGGATTTGACCTCAGGCCTAGTTCACTACATATGGATGGATGGAAAAATATTTTGATAACAAATTTTGCACATCATCTATAAATAAAGTTTGTGAGCTTGATTGAGAATTTATTTAATCTTTTTATTTCTTAAAAATTTCATATTTAATAACCATTTTATTAACACTGATATAAAAGCCATAATTATTGCTTTCAATTCACTGTTTAACAAATTTCTGTTTTTAAATGTGCTATACAAATAAATTTGATTTGATAATTATATATATTTAGCCACTGTACCAATAAAACACCTCATTAGTGGCAAAAATATTTCTGTCTTACTGTGCAGCGGCACATAGCGGTTTTAAAATCAAATCTAGTAAAGCAGATTCATGATTTGATCTGTTGTTTGAATACAAATTTGAACATGAATGTATTATTTTATTTAACTCTGTCAGCCTTAATTTTCACACACCCACACGCACGCATTTTTTATATATATATATATAGATAGATATATAGATAGATAGATAGATAGATAGATAGATATAGATAGATATATAGATATGTAGATATGTATTTGACTAGCATTTGTCTGGTAGGCCAAAAAAATATATATTCAACACTTAAATAAAACATGATCAAGTTTTATTATGTCTCTATATGCAAATTATTTAATACCAAGAATGTGAGGTTCCACTAATTATCCATAATTCAATTCAATTTAAAAATACTTCAAGAGTTGTTATAAATGCTGATAAATGTGGGCAGGAAGGATCTCCTGCAGCAAATTCAAAGAATCTGGCTAGATACCGATCCGTCCACTTGGATCCAGCTTGCTGTCAGATCCGGCGGGCCTCTCGGTCCTCTTGGGCAGCTGGACTGCCCGAAACCTCCTCGTCACCACGGACTGTCAACTGAAGGTGCTGGGGTGTGATCACGGTCCTCCCGTTGTAATGAGCCGAGTTTCTCAACAGCTCCATGATCTCAGCGGTCAGGTACTCCATCACTGCCACCAAGTTGATGGGAATGCATCCACGGCGCCTCCTTTTCAACTCATTAAGGATTTGTGGCTGTAGCTGAGCTTTTGAGAGGTTAATCAGCTGCTCCTAGTTGTTAAAAAAACAACTTGTTGCCATGGATACACATCATAACAAATGCCCAAAAGTAAAAAGGTTTCCATCCAGAAATAACTGGAATTAGTTTTCAAAAGCAACAACTCAGAATGAATGTAAAAGAGCTAGTCCAACATGCAGCCACCCCGAGCGGCACAATTCTACAATCTTAAAGGTCTTGCAGCTGTAACAGATGACTGAATGAATGACGAAGACATTTAATTATTAAATGTTGGTTTTATTTTATTTTTTGTATCTTTTTTGTTTTTTTCAAAGTTCCTTGATAATCTTGACAAAATTGCAACATGTTCCATACTCTTCAAACTGACGGTGTGTCTCTTGCTAATCCAGATTATCTGTGGAGGGAAATGCTGTGCGCTGTTCTGGACAGGTTGAGTCCTAAAGAATGAAAGCAGCTTTTTCTTTTCTTTTCTTTTTTTCCCCGTACAATTAAAAAAAAAAAAAAGTACACGTGAATCAGAGAGGCTCCACACTGGCATCCTATGCTGCAACACTGAGCGGTCAGGGTTCGAGTCACTCTGCACGAGTCCTGGTCTGCCAGGCCTAACAAGAGTGGGTGATTGGAGAGAAAATTCAGGGGCTCAGTAGCAGAAGTGTGTACACATGTGCATTTGTGATTGGAGGCTTAGGGGTTGCATCACAGTACACATACAAATAACAGGCCAAGCACACAAAATGATTCCTTCCTGAGACATTGGTGCGTTTACAGTAACGATGGTCCAGATAACACGTATTAATGATGAAGGCGTTTTGGTGTAAAGTGAGTCACAGGGCGTGAGGTTGCTCTGGATCCAGCAAAAGGTCACATATATGTTCCTAAATGTTGCCGGGAAGGGGCTTGATTTGTGAGAACTTGTACGTTTGGGACCTGAACGTGGACAGAGCAGACTACAATCTCGTCTCGTCCGCTACGGATCGATTCGTTCAGTGTCCTGAGAACGGTGTCATTAATACACGGTATATATACACTGTTCCTCACATCACACATCAGCTGGGCCTTCCAGGCAACAGATGGCATCTAACTCACAATTTTCCTCTTCTCGTTCTGCTACATGGCAAAATAAAAAGCTATGCCCCGTCAGGAGTGCTACTTTGTTATCTACTGTACATAAAAAAGCTTTTTAAAAAAAAAAAAAAGTGTGTGTGTGGGTGGGGAGGGGGAAATTGTTTATGAAAGCCACATTCTGAACAGCCAGTGATTGGTGAAAGGTCTGTTATAAAACATGAAAGAACTTCCTTCAGTAAAATGTGCTCATACTGTATTGTCTTAAATCACAAAATCTATAACAAAACACATTAAAAGGAATTTTTAAAAAAATCACGTGTAGCCTAAAACGCTTCATAGTTTTAAAGAAATGAATACAGCTTATATACACAAACTCAAAAGCCACTTAAAATACACCTTAATGATGAATCTTCATTAATTTGATTTCTTGAAAGGACCTGTGATGATATCATATAACCAAGTTCATACAATCATTTTTTTTTTCATTCACTTGGAGGAAAACAAAAATGAAAAAAATAAAATAAAAACTAGGAAAACGAACCTGGAATAGAAGGTGATATTTGCTGTTTTTCTGTGCACATTTGTGTAATTGTTTGCACGACTTGAGAAATGTCAAAATCCTTTTCTTGTTAATGAGAATAATACACAAACAGAAACGTGTCTCGTTACTCTTGATAGGTGTGAAAAGATTCAAAGGGTGAAGGAGTACAACAATTACTAATCTCAGCGCAGTAAACATGTCCTCATTTCCACCTGCAGCTCTCTTCTGGACACGCCCATCACAATAGTTCCTTACTTTTTCTATATATATTTATGTATCTTTTGTACAAAATCTGTTCTTTTTCTTGTTTTTGCTTCTTTTTTTTTGAAAATGGAAAAAAGAGTCAAGACCCAAAGTCTTTGAGGAGTGAGGTCTTTTGACAAGTCCCAACGTTGCAGTCTGCTTCAGAGTACAACAAAACATCAACAACAACAACGACGACAACAACGACAACAACAACAACAAAAAACAAAGTGTCTGGTGTTTAGGTCAGTCTGTATTTATTGTCCTTTTTATTCGTCCCATTGTGCTGCTCTCACTCGCTTTCATTCAGGACTGGTCGTCACTGCGTCCAGGTTTGTTTCCATCTTTCTGAGGAAGGTGGAAGCGATGGGGAGGAGCGTGGAGGGAGGTGGATCAGCAGTGTCAACGATGCGTCATCCTGTCACCTGACCTGCTCCGGCCTCACCTCCCCACTCATGTCCGGACAGTGTTCCTGCGGTGATGGCAAGCAGATCAGGAGATGTGGACTTGTGTCGCTGGAGAGGAGGAGGTCGGCTCTGCCAGTCTCCTGTGGGTCAAAGCCCACCTCCTTTGTCCCTCCGGTTCAGAACAACGTGGGAGGAGACAGAGACCAACATGAAGAGAGAGAGAGAGCGAATAACGAAAAGGTGGGCCATTACTACGGCGATTGTGTGGCTGGACTGCTTTGGGCCGAGCTGGGGGACAGACTGGGACTGCAGCTTCCTGGGGGGGCGCCGTTGGGCCTGCTGCCTGCAGCCCCGCTTTCCAGACCCTCTGAGTTCTCCAACATCTCCTGGATGAGAGGTGGCATGGAGCCGGGGATCTCCATCTTCAGCGTGATAACGCGTTCAGCTCCTGCAGAAAGGAAAATACATTTAGCTCCACAACGTTACAAAAACCAAAATACTAAAGAATGTTAAAAAAAAAAAGTAAACGTGTTGAGCAACAAACCTTTAGCACTGATGCTTCTCAGGTCCGTTATCTTCATCAGCATCTTGGGAAACATATGAGGTTTGTGAGGCCGCCTCCGTCTCACGTAAAGCTTCAGCGCCTCCAGAAGGGGCTCCTGCAGGACATCCACCTTGTCCGCTTCTTCCAAGTCCTGTCGATCTGTGGAGAAACCCCCCCCAAAATATCTCAGTACTCTGTGACTCCTACTGTGTTTGTTTCCAGATCAGTTTATTGTTGAAATGTCATACCTCCGCACAGCAAGCAGATGGCGCTAAGCAGCCCCGTCTCTGCATCATCCATCTCCAAAGGAAGGAGCTGGTTGGCAAAGGCAAACACCAGGTCTGTGAGGGGACCGAAGCCAGCGTTGTGCATCTGGGTTCTGTTTAGCGTGAGTCCATCTGAGAAGGTCATGGTGTCCTGCTCTGGCGTGTAGCGCGTACAGATCCGCAGTATCTGTGGAACAAGAGTTGTAAAATGTAGTTCAACCTTAAACCAGACTGAAGAATCTATAATCCAGTATTCTGAGTCAATATTTGTACCAGAATATCCAGACAGGCAGCTTTGAGCAGCGTGATCTGGTCAGCGATGGTGAGCGTTGTGAAACCCGGCAGCTGCTTTGCGAACTCCACCGTCTTTATGATGCACTTGGTGGAGAGCTCGCTGAACTTGTCCCACAGGTCAACGTCCAAGGACACACGCCTTTCTGAGCTGTTAGTCTGCAAAAACGTGAACAATTACAAGTCAATACTTTCAGCACTGACGTCAGTGACACTGACAGAACTCGAACAGATGGCCCCTTGTGCTGTCACTGACCGTAGTGTATTTGCCCAGCTGGCAGAGGGAGGGGAAGGTTTCCTTGTGTGCCTTGCGAACCCTGTCAATCATCTGCTCTGTGTCTGGACTCAGCACGTAGCTCTCCGTGCACTCCTGCTTCTTCTCATCCTTCTTCTTTTTGTTCCGGTCGTTCCTCACAGCTGAACAAAGCAAAAAAATAAATGTAAAATTAATTAAGCGTGCACAGGATTTTAACAAGAATTTAACAAGATTAACACTTAAAAACAATTATTTGTTTGCTCGAAATTATAGTAACGGTGTGCCTCAGTTGAACTTTTGCTTAATAAAGGCACTTTGACGGTCAAATCAGCTGCATTTCGTTGGGGCGGCGCAGCTAAATGAAGCTGATTCAGTTGCTCCAGGTGAGCTGGACGACGGTGGCAGTCTATGGCAAGCCGACTGTGTCATTAATAGCCACTTTTACCTATTACATGACACAACAGCATGCCTTACTACTCGAGTGCCATGTAGTGGCTACAAATGGTAGTGTTCAATATTTTCAGTTAGAATGAATGAAAACGGTCATAACTCAGCCAAAAATTGATTTATAAATATGGGAAACTCCATAAAGACGTTGCTTCGGCCTATAAGTTGCAGGGCGTGCAAATTGTGCAAAAAACGTGATTATACAGCGAAAAATATGGCAGTTTCCAAAAAGGTTTTCACGTTTGGATTTGTTTGATCCCAGAACAGTTTTCCACTTTGCCTCAGTCAGTTGTAAACGAGCTTTGTTCCAGAGGAGACAGCAACGTTCTGGGTGGTGTTCACAAATGGTTTGTTCTTTGCACGATAGAGCTTTAACCAGCATTTGTGTGTGGCACAGTGAACTGTGTTTGCAGACCATGATTTATAGAAGTGTTCCTGAGTTAAAGCATGTTTCTAACAGAACCGGACCTGTTTTAATGCAGTGGACCGCAGGTTGAAATTTGGTCTCGTCTTTTGACAAAGAATTATCCAAACTCTTGAAATCTTTTGATGAAGTTATGAACTGTTTATTTTCAAAATTATTCCATTATTTGTAGTCAGATTATTGCAGATTAGCAAACTTCTGCCCATCTTTACTTTTGATTCAGTTTTAATCCCTCCTTTTTAGTTCCAACATTTTGAGATGTGTTGCTGCAATCAAATCCAAAATTACCTTTCCTCACAAAAACCATACACGTTCATACGTTCATCATTTGAACGGATACCTATATTTTATTGTTAATAAAATATGGCCTTATGAGGTTTGCAGATCATTACATTTCAATTTTATTTACATTTTACTCATTGTCTCTATGTTTTAGGAAATGAGATTGCAATTTATCTGAACTGTGATGCATTTTTACCACCCCCCCCATGCAAACACACAGCCCAGGCACTAAATATATTCCCTATTACCACCTCCTGACATCGCCTTAACAAGGAGGCGACTGAGATCAAAGTCATGTTGAGGAATGGCTCCTCTGTGCAGCAAGCAGCATCAACTCTTTCTTTTATCAGACGCTGAAAGATAAATGTTTTAAAACACTTTAGTCCAAGAAAGGCTGCGATAGTGGAGAGCGCGAGGAGAGGAAGAACAAAACAAAACAAAAAAAACAGGTTGACATAATCTACTGTTGTTTCCCTCTGGGCGATCTGACTGAGAGTGTGATCACCCCAAATGACAAAAAACACCAGGCGGGTGTTTAGCATTGGAATCCCATTACAAGCTCGATCCATATCTCGCAGCCTATCCACGCTGGCTGTGATGAGGTTGTGTATATGTGTGCGTTGAGGCTGGGGGGGTGCGAGTTGATAAATAGTGGTGGGGGATGGAGCCATCCATAAGGCTGACAAATTGCCACAACTTTCATTAGGGGTCCCGGCTAATGTAATAACATAATATGACAAATATCCTGCCTCTAATGGATTTAAAAGGGCTCGGCTGTGGAGCCCATAACAGGAACAAACCCTCCAGCTTTCTCCTTTCTACTCTCGATTATACATGTTCTCACTTTCCCTGTCAGCTCGCTTCATTCACGTTTTAGAATTTCATTCAAAAATGATCAACCTTTCCTTAATCATCATCACCCGTGTCTCTTCCTCTCCCCTGGCACTGACCTAAGAGCGGCGTTTCCTTGCCTTAATCCTCACCTTGACCACTGGGGGCGAGGTGCTCCCGCTGATGGGAAGTCGGTGCGTCTGACGCTGAGGTCTGGACTGAAGCCAGGCAGGGAAAGCGCTGCTCTGAGCTGCTGCTCATTCATCAGCCCACAGACAGGCCTCCCTGCCTGGGAGAACATTAAGGCAGGAGAGGAAGGCGGGGGCTGGAAGTCTGATCCTGCTTCATGCTCCTGCTAAGCACTCCTCGCCACAACAAGAAAAAATAAATAAAAAAATGAAACCCTGCTGTGATCATGGCGGTGCGCTCCTTATTGACACCTTAGGTGGGCAGGCTAATGTTGGCATCAAAACACGACATTAACAGAAAATGCCTCCCGCTCTTAAAATCACGTAATTATGACTTAGGGGGTGAACTAACACTTTTGTTTAGCGACGCTCGTCTTCGGAGCCATTTATCTGAAGTAAGCTGCTCAACGTATCTGGGCCAGCTCTGCTCGTGGGGCTGATTGGGAACCACTGTTCTGTTGGCCACACGGGGAGGGAGGGGGGCTGCAACACACAGTCCATGTCCAATTAATTCACAAATAAAAGTGGGGCATCCCCCGTGCCCAGACATTACCCGCACTGACAAATTGGCAGCACAATCATATGCCGCACAACACAATTTAATGAAGTCATTAAAGAACTATTAGGCATGACTGGCGATCTGTCATGGCGAATTGCCACATGCAGTAACTCGAGAGGGTGTGGGGGTGCGCGCAAATAAATGAAATATGGTTTTGATTTTCCCTTTAATGCATCCTCTTTTATTCCCTGTGTACACGTCTCTTTCAAAATGCATCAAGAGAATGTAGAACGCTTTAGGAGGAACTTGAATACTTTTATTTACATGCCTCTTTGCGTGACTGTGATTTACAAGAACCGGTGTGTAAACGTGTGCACGACACGGCAGACGCACTCGCTCGTTCCCTGACTGGACCTGAGCAGCAGGTGATGTGGAGGTTCAGAGCGGCGGCGTGTGTTTGTCGCAGTGTGACAGAGGGAGGTGGGCAGACGGGGATAATTTGTGCGAGGAAAATTAAAGCGGTGGCAGCTCGTCCATCACGCAGATTAAATTCAATGGAGAGATAAAAATGTCAATGTCTCCCCCCCCCCCCC